AAGTGATTACGTGACATGTTTTGATTCGCTAGAATTACTTCTTTCTGGTGAACTTCCCGATTCTGTCTTTTTAATTTATTAAAACAAAACAAAAAAAAAGTTATGTGATAGTTTTAGAATTGTTTTTTTTGAAATAAGGTATTTTTGTTTGTATAGTGAAGAATGAAAACCTAACACAAAACGGCATATACCATATTGGTGAAAAAGAAAAGGAGTATATAGTCCTTTTTTTTATTGATTAATTTTTTTTTTCAAACTCCAAAATCAATCAGTATTGAGTGTAACTAAAAAGAAAGTGATTGTGGTCGACTCATTTCAAAAATATCTATAAATCATCTGTAAATAAAAAACAGTGGTTTATCATTAGTTCACATTTTGTATTCACATTATAATTTAATAAAGTAAAAAAAAATTTACCACAAGGAAATAAATAAGTACACTTTGACACTCTTAGATCCATTTTTTAATTTAAAATTTAAATCCAAAAGAAATGAATCATTTTATAGTTTTTTAATGTTAATTACCACTTTGTATTTTATGTTGAACAATAGTACAAGGACTCATTTTGTGGCTTATATAAAGACATTCCACAATAGATTAATGTAACTTATTTTAAGGTTTAATGGTTTTTTGTAAGGCCTTAGACTTTTGGTTTAAATTAGCTTGCTGTCAATTTTAACTTGTAAGTTTAATATATTTGGTATGATTTATCCGCCAACCTTATTTTTCGGCACTAAATTTCTCTTCTTTATCATCATTTTGAGTTCTAAATTTTGCAATTTTTTTTATTTTTAGAATGAAACATAAAACTATAAATAATTAGTTTTTGAATATTGTTAGACTCATATTATTTTCGAATTGGGATCCAAAAGAAATGAAGTATCTTATAGTTTTTCTGCTAACAATTACATTATGTTTCGCATTGAATGAAGCTGATGAAAAAGATTGCGGTAAAAACAGGGTACAATTTCTTAACCAACTCGCTAAAGGGATTACTCTCAAAGTCAATTGTACATCAAGAGACAACCATTTGCACGACCATTTTTTGACTTTTAAAGGTGTTCCGTACCAAATCAAATTCGACGAAGCTTTTGGTGGAACCACAAGATGGATTTGTACCATGCAACATGGGAAGGCTTCACAAACTTTTAGAGCATATAAAGGATCCTTTTATCCAAGATGCAATGAAAAACGCGACTTTGTTGCCAGAATGGACGGAATTTATTTGTCTAAAAACCTAGGTCCGACTTTGTTCAAATTATCTTGGGGTACATTACC